CGAACAACACGATGGCCATGAACAACCTGGGTGATTCGGCCAGCACAGCCTCCACCCCTCAGCCGTACATGCGGCAGTCCAACGCGTCCATCAACCAAGTAGGCCTACCACCCTATAGCGGTGAGCCTAATTACGGCCAAGTGCAAAACCATGGCGGCAGTCGGAACCAGTATGGCGACTCGCAGTGGGACCAGCAGTATTACGACCAGTATGGCTACGGTTCTCAGAATGATGGCTATAGTAATGCAGGCTATTCTACAGATTATTATGACAATGTGAGGGCCCCTGTGCCGCCAAGGAATACGAAATCAAATACCCAAGTTTAGAGCCTTGATATTTTACAAATATGTTCATTACAATGCGCAAGAAAGATGCTGAGTGACGTAAAATGTGCAATACAAGAATAAACATGGAAACATTGCTAGTAAAAATAGAAATATTGCTAGCAGGATAAATGAGCACATTTTTTTTTCATTTAAGAGATTAAGAGTTAAAACGGACAGATAATTTCTTTTAATCTAATAATAATGATATACAATAATTTTTCGCATTGTTGAGAAGAACTTGTTCTGTAATGATAAGCAGATGTATCTTGTTGCATGCAATATCCTTGGTAAACTTGATTATATGTTTTCGTTAAAAATCCCATAAATGATTATATATATATCATGAAGAATATTAGATTTAAAAGAAATTTTTACCAAAAAAAATATTGCTGATCAGATGGAATATGAAATGGATTATGTATGCCATAGAGACAGTAAAATTGTGTGAAGAATAAAGGCATCGAATGCCAATCACGACGTAATGGGAAGGAATGTGGACATATATATGTATATATATGTGTGTGTGTGTGCGCGCGCGCGCGCGCGCGCGCGCGTGTGTGTGTGTGTGTGTGTGTGTGTGTGTGTGTGTGTGTGTGTGTAATATGTATATGTATATGTATATGTATGTGTGTGTGTGTGTGTGTGTGCTTGTTTATATGCATGAATGTATGTATTTATGCATGTATGTATGTGTGTGTATTTGTATGTATGCATGTACATACGTAGGTATGTATGATTGTATGTAAGCATGCATGCTTGCATGTACGTAGGGATGTATGTATGTATGTCTATACATACACAGTTGTGTATAATGTTATGATGATATTATTTTGATGTTTATTGTTGACATATGTTTTTCTTCATATTTCACAAATGTAGAACAAACATTGCAATCATTTATGAAAAAAACAGGAAGTTTTGTTGCACAATATTATCACCAAAAATTAATCGTGTTAATGTCTTGCCACATGCTTTAATACAGTGTGATCACTGTGTTTGGACACTAAATTATTCCATTTTCTTCATACAGTGAGAGCAATAAGTTGTTCCTTTAGTGAGTAGAGAGAGAAAAAAAAACTAGATTGTTTCATATTTTTAATGCGGCAAGAACATGAAAGTCCTTTTTTTGTAGCGTCTCCAAAACCCCAAACACTTTGATACTTGTTTGGCCTTTACGCGAACATTATTGGAACCTTTTTCGGTTGGTATCGTTTTATATTCCTCTACGTTCTTATAATGTGATACACTCCGGCCAGGTTTCATATATATTTTCACGTATTCTCGGATTAGGATTTATCGAATTGTATGTTTCTCGATAAATAATTCTATCATATAGATGCAGAAAATGTACATCAACTACATGTTCATTCTATATGGGTAAAAATGGACGGTCGCTGGCAAGCATTTCCGAATCGCATAACTTGGTATGGACTTCAGTGGGATGAAAGTCTTCAAAATCATTCTGTACCTCTAAGATGTAACGCTACAGGCTGAAAATTATCAAAGAAAAGGCTGTGTATCTTGATTTGCTGATAATTTACAGGCACAGAGATAAGTAAGTGCCTGTGGTTATTGGTATCATCCAATTATCTGAGTTTCAGCTTCATGTGAACATGGAATTCACTCGAAGTGGATACGATAAAATGCAAAACCTCGAGCATCATTCTTCCACTTTCCATATCAAGAACAATGGATAAGAAACGTGAAAAATGTTTTATGTGAATCCGAGAAATACATTTGAAAGTTTCCACAACCTTGCGAAACGAAAGGTGGTGTGTAGAAAAAATAAGTTCGAAGCTCCCATAGTGTGTTGCTTGTAATCAAAAAGCATCTTAACCAATTTAATATTTTTCACCACTTTTATTATGAGAATTTAGGAAAAAATATTTTTTCCTTTTTTTTTCAAAACTACATGTCAGTACAAAATTCGCGGATATCGTGTCTTGCAGCGACCACAAGGTAACATCAAACAATGTGTTACAGAGTTAGGAGTTTCAGGATGCCACAAAAAGGCCTAGAGTCATTTAATACACTGTGTTGTACCACATGGTCTTAACACAAAGAAGACAAGATATGGTTCAGTGCCAAGGAAGAAGTCAAGGCGGCTGAGTTATGATTTAACTGACCTTCCATTTTTTTTCTATATCAATAAATAAACGTACAAATAAAAAAAAGGTTTTCCTTGTATACCTTGGTAATTTTATATTTCATCTTGTGGAATATATGATATTTCGATAAAGAAAAAAAGTAAGTAGGTAGGTAGAGAGAGAGAGAGAGAGAGAGAGAGAGAGAGAGAGAGAGAGAGAGAGAGAGAGAGAGAGAGAGAGGGGGGAGGGGGGGGAGAACGAAGATAGAGGAAGAGGGAGAGTAAGATGAAGAGAAGAGAGACTGGGAGAGACAGGGAAAGAGAGAGGGAAAAGGATAGAAAAAACGAGATACTCAAATACTAGATAAGTAGAGATGAATTCTTGTAATAGCTTGGTCTCACAGCAAAGGAATCTTGAAACTAAAAAAAAAAAAAAACGATAAACAGTTGAAAATGAAAGAATGAAGAGAACACAGTAGGGATGAGACCCTCACGTCTTCCTTTACGTGTAAGTCAATCAATCAACCACAATCGAGAGCTATGAAAAGAGGAAAAAGGCAAAGACAAAAGACAAAACACGAGATCACCAAGAAGGTAATCAAGAGGGTGCCAGTCTGTCCAAAGAGTCATATTCAGAAACACTTCGGACACCTTAAACGGAGAGTCGGATCGGCATGTTACTCCGTCAGCCAATCACCAAACTTTCAACCAGAAAAGGTGTCCGAAGTGTCTCTGAATATGAGCGATGCGACCTGGATGTAAATGGACGAATCTTCAATGGCATTTCTTCCTCTCTTAATTAGGTCTCTTGATCAGGGTATTTTAAGCTGATCCGTGGCTACTTTGTTCAAGCATGGCAAAATAGAAATAAAAAATAATAATGGTAATAATAATGATTAATTTAACAAAAGTAATAATGATACTACTACTACTAATAACGAAAACAGAATATAACGAAAATAGAATATGGATTACAAACATGATTATTAAACAGATATGTTAGGGGATGTTATTCTACACAGAATAATTAAACGGTTGATTTTCTTCTTTGTTCATGGTTAAGTATAGGCAAATAATTATACTGCTGATATCAAGGAACATAAACATTCGATTGTGTACGAATAACTATGATTGGCAAACAGTAACGCTATAACCAAAAACGAAACATGAAAAAAAATAAAAATAAGAATAAGACTAGATAAATAAACAAATAAACACAACAGAAAGACAAAATAGAAAACAGAAAGAGACCAGCTCCTGCAAATGGCTGACAGACGAGCAGCCGTCACAGAGCCCGGGATTATTACCTTGTGCCTCCTTGATTCTAGCCGAAGCCTACCTCGTGACGTACTCTGTCGAAGGGAGTGGCCAGGGGGCGGTGGGGCAGGACGTGACGCCCATGGAAGCAGGGGCCCTGGTTAGCACCACCTTCCCTGCCCCGGATTGTGGGCACCTGACCTTCCTGGTGAGCGCCGTGGATGCCCAGGGTATGCAATCTGCCGACTCTAACGAAGCTAGGATCAGCGTCCCTTGCGTCCCCACGACCTCTCTACCTTCGACGGCGTCCTCCTCCTCCTCCACGCAGAACCCCAACAGGCCTCCTCTGTCGTCCACGGAGCACCCCACTCCGTCGTCCTCCTTCAGCTCGGAGGAAACCCCAACGGCCTCGATCATAGACACTACTACCATTCAGTCAGGTACGTAGGCTTCTACAACGTGCCGATTCAGCAATTTTATCAAAATAAGTGAAGAGTGATGATGGTTGTAGTTATATATCTAAAATGACCCCCCAAAAAGATGGAAAGCTGTATGTACAATACATAAAAAGAATCCACTCACACACAAAAATATCCACATACAAAAAAAAAAAAAAATGCAAGTAAAAGAAACTCCATATGCAAAAAAAAGCAAAAAGAACACATAATAAATTCCACACACAAAAAATCACATAAATTCACACACACACACACACACACACACACACACACAAAAAAAAAAGATACATAAAAAAATAGCTCCACAAAAAACATGAAAGAAAACTCCACATAAAAAAAGAAAACTCCACACAGAATGCACATAAACGCACCATCCTCCCTACAGGAGACAACTGCTCCTGCGTGTCCACCGAGACCTTAATCACCGTCGTGATCGGGAGCGTCGTGGGCAGCATCCTCGCCGTCCTTCTCGTGGAGCTCCTCGTCTACCTCCTCGTCAAGCTGTGTCAACGCCGCCGTTGGAAGAAGCGCCAAAGACAAAGGGAAGGCGTGAGATCCACACGCGGTGCTGAAAACCCGGCCTTGGACCACGCGGATTCAGGAGGGAACTATGGTATGGCGCTTCGTGAAGTAGAAGGCTGGTAGACTAAGGTTAGATTAGGATTGGAAGACGGGAGGGAGAGGGTGGGAGGTAAGGAGGGAGGGGGGGAGAGGGAAGGAAAGGGAGGAAGAGGGAGAGAAAGGGAGGGAGAGGGAGTGAGTGAGTGAGGGAGGGAAGAAGGAAGAGAGGGTGATAGGGAGAGAGAGAGTTGTGTTGTAAAGGATTGTTAGACTAAGGCTGGAAGAGTGAGAGATAGAGAGATAGATAGATGT